AATGCTCCTTTTAAACAATATTAAACCCATCCGGGCCGTGGGAAGGGACAGGAATGGTCGCTCTTACCTCGGCAGAGCACCAGGCGCACAGCGGGCTCACGGCCAGGCACTGCTTGCAGGAGGTCACCCCCCGCGTGCTGCAGATGTTGCTCCCTGCAACAGGGACACAGAGAACGGTTAGAGCCCGGCACAGCCCCGCCAAGCAGTGCCCACATGTGTGATGAAGTGCCAGTGCTCAGTCAAAGGCTTTGGCAGCCAGAGCCCCCAGGAGGCAGGTCCCCAAGGTGCTGCCCCCTTTATACTCACCTGGACCCACTCCCCAGAGCCCGGTACCAGCTGGGGCTCATCCTGCCCATGACTGAGCCTCATTTCCCACCTGCAGCTCCCTTAAGGAGACGGCTCCCCAGAATGCATGGATTGCACGCACAGCAGTTTGGGCTTGCAGTGCACACGGCAATTTGGCTTTGTGATGCCCGAGGCCAAGGGCAGTTGCCCAGGGCCTGGAGCACAGGGTTCAGCCCCGGGGACAATCCAGCTCCCAGCCTGGCCTGTTGCGTCTCACTGGGGACATTTTGCTCCGGCCACCCTGGCGTGGTGGCCTCAGTGCTCTGCTGCTTGCAGCATGCGGGTGGGAAAAACAGCAGGAACACCCAGACTCCTGGTGCTGGGACAGGGTGAGAGCCCCTCGCAGGGCTCGGGAACGCGGGAGGCACCGCTGCCCTTCCCTGCGTCTCTTCCCAGGAGAGCGGAGCACGTTCTGCCTTCACCCATTGCGCTCGTGGCCCCGGGAGCACCTCAGGATTCCTGCCTGGGCTTAGGTCCCACAGCAGGTTAATGACATCCCGGCCAGCTCCCTTGGCCACCCCGGAGCCAGACCGATGCCCTTTGGCTTCTCCCTCGGTTACTTGTACAGGTCACAGAGCACCCCGGGGTGGCCAGCACTGTTGGCAGGAGATCTGCAACGCCCACGTTAAGAGATTAGGTGTAAAATCATAATCCTAAAATGATAATTTCTGTGTTTTCTACATTTTTTCCCCATGTTTTGGGCTTGTTCCTCCAGCTGCAAGAGCTAATAAACTGAAGTCCCATTATTATTTATTTCGCTTAGTGACAAAGCAACAAGGCTCATATAACAACCCCATCTCCAGGACTAGGGGATTAATTAAAAAAAATGTAAAAAAGCAAAATCTTGGCACCGCAAGTCCAATGAGACTGGAGACAAACTCCACAGCACGGGAAAGAGCCACGGTGCCGCGGTGGGCAAACCGGGCACCCGAACACCCCGGGGTGTGCGGCCGAGCATCGCCCCCAGCGCTGGGACCATCACTCAGGATCTCCAGGAACCTCCTCCCTACGCGACCCACTTTTTTTTCTTCTTGTTGCTGTTTTTTTTCCCGCTAATACGTGCAGGAATGTGCACCCAGGAGCCTTCACATCCACAAAGGTGCATGCCAGCCCTGCTTGGATTTTCCCAGTGCTCTCAGCTTGCCTAAGCTATAAGGATTTGGGGGCTTTTCTTGCTGAGCTCCTGCCCATGCCATCCTGGGGCTCTGTCTTTTCTTGGATTCCCTCCTTGTTTCCCAGTACGTTCGTGGAGAGAAGATGCCCCAAACGGAGCTCAGGTACCACCGCATGTTGCCTTAATGCCTTTAGTAGATACCCCACCGAGAGGGTCCCTCAGAGGAGCTCCCATCCCTCCAAACTTGGCTCCTCTGCTCCCGACACATCCAATAATTCCTACACATCTGACTGGACACATCCCTGTCCTGCCCTTGCCTATCCAGCCATGGGGCTACGTTGTTCCCACAGGCACATTTTAGTGCTGGGAATTTAGCCTGGGTTTCCTTAAGAAAGATAACATTGCTCCCAAATCCTCCAGAGTCGGGCCTCAAAAACAAAGAGGGATTTATAAACTAGGAAACAAAAGCAAAAAAAAAAAAAAAAGGCACTGTTTTAGGACTGCAAGGGGACTGCAAGTTTTCTTTTCTGGAGTGTTTGAGAACATAAGAGACACTCCAATCATTTTATTTTTTTAGCTTCTCCTCTACAGCCAGGACACTGGGCATTATTTTTTTATTGCAAGCTCCATTCCTCCTCTAACTGCCCGAAGCCAGAAACCGGGGGTTTCAAAGAAAAGCACCAAAATCCCGGGGGAAGAATGACAGCAGGTAGGAACGCCGGCAGAAACACCGTTAAAAGCCAGGGATAGAGCAAGGGCAGGCAGAGCCGCTGCCCCCAGCACCGGCGCTGGGGCCAGGGCGGGTTTGGGTCGGGACCGCGAGGCGCTCGGACCGCGAACCTACCGCGGGCGCCGGCGGCGCAGAGCAGCAGCGCGGCGATGCCCAGGGCCGGTCCCACGCGTGTCCCCATGGTCTCCCGGCCGGCTCCTCCGCGCGCGGCCGTCCCGGGGCGGCCGGAGCTTTTGAGCAGCCCCGGGGTGAATCATGGGCCGGGTGGGGACACGCGCGGCGGGGCCGCCCGCGGAAGCGGCGCCGGGGGGGGCCCCCTCCGGCTCCCTCGCTCCGCGGTTCTCAGGGCGCCCATAGAAACGCTTGGGAGCCTCGTGGCTTTTCCCACCCCTGGGGGTAATTCCTTGCTACATCTCGCTTTTTTTTAATTAACCCTTGCAAGGGAGGCAGCCTGGGTTTTAACCCTTCCACACCCGGGCTGCTTTGGGAGGAAGGGAAGAGGAGGGGAGCTACAAGCGGAGGTGAAAACGTGAGTTCTCAGCATCCCTTTCCCGCTGGTGGGGATGGGAACAGCCCCGTTCCTAGAGCTGGGATCTGAGTGAGAGCTAGGGAAGGGAACCAAGAACTGGATCTGGTGCCTGTGCTCAGCTGCTCTTTGGGACTTTGGGTTTCAAGCCAGACATCCAAAAGGGGAGAGAAGTTCAGATTTGGGCCTGATAATTTGGGCCTGAATCTCTTCTCCCTTGTGCTGGTTCTCCCTGCGTCCTCCTAAATCGCTCCTGTCCAGGGGCATGGATAGGGAGTGAGACGCACACACACAAAGCGCCTGCGGGAACAGCTGCTCTCCAAAGCCAGGTCTCCATTCCCTGCAATTCCACAGATGGGGAAACTGAGGCATGGAGCTCACGGGCGGTGAGGGAGGCGGCTGCGGGCAGCAGGATTCCCCACGCAGACACACAGGGAAGGAGGCAGGAGAGGCTGGAGCTGACGCCACCAGAGGGAGCAGAAACTCCTTCAGCCCAGGAGCGTGAGCAGAGAGGAGGGAGATCCCTCCTGGGCTCCTCACCCGGCATCTGGGATGCTCCGCTTTCCCGGGGGATTTCTCCTGGACATCATGTTAAGCCTGGGCAGAAAGCTGTGTTGGATCAAGGCGTCTCCTCTTGCATCCCTCGGTGCTCTGGGCACACACGCGGCCTCGCGGGTCAGGCAGCGCTCTGGGGAAATTAGAAACAACAAGTGGGAAAAAGCAAGAAATTCACCCCAACCAAGTGCTTTGGGACCCTACTTGTCACAAAAGTGAAACGGAGAAACAGGCCCACATCCTTCCAAAGCAAACCTGTGACACCGCGTGCACCGAGCTGGCCCTCGTCCTTGCCTGGCCTTCCTCCGTGCTGCCGCAGCGCATCCGTTCTCTGGTTTATTAGAACCTCCTTGGAGGACGTGCCCTGTGGACGTATTCCCAGGCTCTTTGGGATGCTGTTGGCAGTGACTGCAGCAGCCTCAGGGGTAAGAGAGACTCCCTGCAAGGCCAAGGTCCAGGGCTGGAGGGCAGGGACCTGTTGGGCACCCTCTGCCCCTTGTTCAGCCTTTGGGATCAAGTGTCCGTAAAACTTCCCTGGGATTGACCTGTGGGACTGAAGGGACCCGTGGGAAAGGCAGGACTGGGACACTGTAGCCTGGGGACAGCAGTGATGCTGCTGTAGGACCCAACAGAGACAGACAAGGGACATCCAGGGGTGCAGAATCTCTGTATCCTCTTGGAGGGGGCTAAAGGGAGGAGGAAAGAGGATCCGCATTCCCTGTCCTGGGTTGAGAGCACAGGCAAAGGCAGCCGGCAGCAGCAGTGAGAGGGGGTGAGGGAGAGGGATGGAAGCAGCTCCCATGCGCAGC